GTGGTCAAATGTGGCATATGCTTATGCGGGTTCGCTTTCATATTGGGTCGAATCATCTATCCTCAGCGTGACTAAGAGGCCCCTCGAAACGGTGGCCTAATCGAAACCGATATGTCGCAGTCAGTATAATGTAAATAAGATTTGTGTTTTGAATTCATTGAATACACTTTTCGTCGAAGGCACTTAATCACAAAAAGATCAATTCTCCTGTGTCAGGCATATCATTGAAGCTTGACGAATACAAATGAACGCGTGGAAGCAAAACAAAGCAAAACAATATGAATCTAATGATTGATAGAATTGCATGTTTGAAGTTAAAAAAAATCTCACTTCGGTCTTTCATACTTTATTTCCAGGTGTCCACTTCAAACGAGCAAAGGCGGTTGGAACCGACTCCACCGACAATGAGCCTGGTTCAACCGGTGCTCATTCCGATTGTAACTACAGATAAAGTGAACACTTCGACCAGTTCTGACCTATCCGTGATCACCGTGCCATGCTATTGTCCTGACCAAGTGGTTGTTGGCCCCATGTGGATTCGTGGCTCGGGACCAGAGATTTCACTAGTAACTTCCAATCGAGTCACAGAAAGTCAACAACATGCCAATGATCCCCACCTCCCCACCATACCCGTTCCTTCTCAGCAACTTTCTGATAGCGTTCACTTTCAATCATCCTCCTTTTTAACAAGGTCAGTGCACAAATGGGATACGCAGTGTCACACGGTACCTCAAAGGGAACAGTTTACGGAAGAAGAAGACAGCACGGAACGATCCAACGTACCGGTTGACTTGTGTAATTCTGCCATTTGCCTTCAGATGATCTCCGATAAGGTGCGTGTGCTTTTTATCTCTCCATGTTTCTCCATGTCGTTGTCTTTAATGAAGTCGTTGTTGTTGGTTTTTCACAACATTGGTTTAATCTGTGCTGCGTGGCACACGCTTGAATAGTATTCTCGGCTGTAATATCTGTTATTTCTCTCTGTGCGGTTTCATGACTGGGGAAGTAGTAGGGGGACGTAGACAAATTTTGCTGTCTGGGCAGCTATATCTCACATGGAGCAAATAGTCGACCTCCATAGACCACACTGGTTGGGGCATGTTTTACGCATATCACCAGATAGGTTGCCACAGTGAGCTGTTCGCCGAGACAGGTAGTGGATGAAAAAAGGTTAAGGGTGGTCAAACGAAGACTTGGCATAATGGTATGAAAACCCTCACCAGGAGACTAGGTCATATATGTCCCGTTAGGCTCCCTGGCTGGGGACCCAGCGATCGTGGTCACCGATGGTTAGAGACACTGGGCGATATGGCTGGGTGTCACAAAAATGGCGCTCATTCACCTACTCATTATTCTTGCAAAACCAGTCTAAAGAAATTCTCTATCTTCCGTTTGAATTTACTCTCAACATTTAAATCTTCATTCTGCTGTTTTATCCAAATGGGCGGCCAAAAGACAGCAACCAAAACCGGCGCACCAAAGTTCATTAATGATGGTTATAAAAACTAAAACTGAAAACATTTTTATGATTTCTTGAACTTTTTCGCCCGAATATTTGTTCATTTCAAATCATTTGTGGGCATGATACCAGCTTAACGGCTCTTATTTTTCTTCCATCGAACAGATCGCCGATTTTCCATTATGCGCTCTTTCCACGGAGAAATCGACCGTCCCTTCCTCACACCTGGAGTCCGATGGTGCCGAGTTAGTTACGTTTTTGAGTGATTCTTCCCTGCTCGATCAAACTGCTGCGTTGGATCTCACCGAACCTCCGTCGTACATCACTCTCCCCATCGGTAACGACGTGATGGATCTTTCCGGTGATGCTACATTCGCATTTACTCCTCCGGACCCGATTGATTTGAGCGCTCCGCAACCGCAACGAAAAGACAGCATTGATCGGACCATGGTTGCCCAAGTTTCGGATACAGGACCAAGCGATATTTTTGCGTGTACTTCTGCCTACTTGCGTTCGCATCAACCCTTGTCTAATTGGGATCCGGAACCAGGTTTTAGTTTCACAGATTTGCTCACAAATAACGATGTTGACGACCCCGATACAATTTTCAACTACCTTCTATCAACTGACCGCATGTCCGTCCATTCCTCGCCGTGCAAGAGCTCAATTTCGATTACGTCCCATACGGTGACCGATACGGCTGTCAGTGCGCAACCTCCTTTGGATTTACGTCTACCCCATGCTCCTGTGTTTTCTTTGTGATTCACTGTGATGCATTTGAATTCAACATTTTCAAGCCGATGTTAACGTGTACATAGTTATGCTCAAAAACGAGTTCTTTTCCTGCCAAATTCTTTTTTTCTTTCCATTTATTGTCGTTCACCTTTTTTCAATTTTGAGTATGTTGCATCCTTTGTGTTGCCACATCTAATCAATCGATAGCTAATTTTTGGCGAGCTTATTCAGGCTTCCGCTGGCTCGTCCTAAAACTTAGATCATCAGTTTCCATAACAAAATAGAAGCTCTTCCTAGCAATGGAGTTCACCCTTTCCACCATTCGTCACAAAATAGCTTGACTTGGTGTTGGTGTGTGTACTCCAGAACGCGATGTTTTTTTCAGGTATACAAACGGGTCATGAAGGTTTTTGTCCAATGGTCGGGTTGATCGTGATTACAAGGTCAATCCCAGTGAACTGATATTTTCTACCAGCAATCGTATTAAGGGTTTGGGTGTTCCATTTCTGTACCACGCAGCAATTAGTATTACAAAAAGAACGGGCTGATTTCAGATTGGGGCTCTCCTGCCTTGTCTTATGATCAACAGCGTTGCTGTATATTCCGTGCCTTAACATGAGATCAGTGTATGCCGTAAGCGATGTCAATTTGAATAATTTCACTTTGGAATAGATGCCAAACTGTTCATATTCCATATATTCTTTTGCTGATGCTTTATGAATGTTCTCCGTTTTAGGTGCAAAATGAACGCTCCTCCCCATAGTGGGAATTCTCATTCTGAAACTATTTCCTATCCATGGTGCATAGATTTAACATCATTTGGCGAACTACTTGTTTGGTCAGCCCCAGGTATGTCGGTATGTTAGGTGAGTATTCCACCTCTTAAACGAACAGCTTTACCCCGCCGGGTCACTCGCTCGTTTCTTTAACTCACCCGTTTTTCACCGCCCCGTGTTTTCATTCAGCTGTCGAATGGCTCAGACGCCAATATCGAATTTTGGGTCGGGCCTCGTTTTCGACCGATCAAACGGTGAAAATTGCAGGCGCATCTTCCGTTCCCACGCGACTTCCGATTCGGCTGAGCATGGAAGAGGTCGCTGTCTTGCTTTTTGAAGGTATTGTACACGGTCTACGACGTACGTGGCCCGTTGCCTTGACCGCAGTTCCGACCGATGAACAACTAGAAGAGTTTCGTGCATCCCTGAGGAAAAACTCCGAAGAAATGGTTAGTGATCAAATTCTTCGATGTGATTATTTCTGTTAATCTTTCCAATTCGTTTACTCATTGGCTCTACTAATCTGTTGTTATTTATTTAGCAAGAGATTCATCTCGTTAAGCGCCGCATAGAAGCGACTGGTTTCTACTCTCAGCTGGTCAATGGCTTGTCGGTACACAAAAAACGTCAGTTGTCCCGCATCTCACAAACCCGAGAAGGGGACCAGTCGTCGGACGGGACTAACTCCTCGGGTAGGTCGGAAATGGCCACGCTATTTTGTTTTCGCTTACTTCCTTAGTTGTTTGTCTACCGTTTCCAAATAAATTGATCCCGATAGCAATATCTACTAACTGCTTTGTAAATCTAGCTTGTGAAAGTGCTGCTCTTATCACACCGTACCCATATACATTGTGAACTTGTTTTCATTTCTTTGACTACTTGCATGACCCTCAGTTACATTCATTCTGCTAGTTAATCCGGTAGTTCGACCGAATATTTCTGTTTTCCACCTCCAATTTTCCTTTTTCTCCATATTGAACGTCTGATGTTCATGGTTTTTCGTTACACTTCTAGTTAGTGCGATTGTTTACATTGTTTGTTTCGTTCTCTGAAACGCAATCAACTGCAGACTACCTTGCAACAGCACTTCTGTCGGCTCTTTAATTCACGCTCAAGGGTGAAGTCGCCGGTCGGCATGACTTGGCTGTACTTCTTCATGATTCGAGGGTCACAGTTCTTCGTTCATTCTACACATGAAAACATGCTCTATGGTTACACGACCTGGTGACTGAAGTTGCGTGCTTCATTATATGTCAGACTTAATACAGCGCGGCTGCCTGTCACCAAATTTGACTGGCGGAGGCGGGGCTCGAACCTNCGAACCTCAACTCTTATTCTTTTATTTTCACACATATCTGAATCCAGACTGTGCCAAACAAAACCTGGTACAATAATCTTTATTAAAAACTAAAACGCTCCATGATTTGCGTGTGGGCGGAATACTGCCAGGTTGCCCAGGCCAAGGTAGGTGAATTTTCTTGAGGAACCCACAACCGGAGCCTTCGGCTAACCAAAGCCTGACCCGAAAGGCAGCGGGGCGGTTTAAAAACCGCAATCCGTCGGGGGTCGGTGTCCCGTTCATCGGATCATACGCACTTTGGACGGGGTCAAATGTCCAAGGTGCGCAGTACACCCCGATGCCCAATTGAGCCGGTGACCGTTGCCACAATCGGAAAGGTGCAGGTGTGGTTCGTACGCCCCGTCTTGGTTGGTTTGGAATCAGGGTTCTTAGCCAACTCCCTTAGGTGAACAACCAGTT